CACTCGTAAACGCAAACGGCAGTCACTTTGTTACAACTTGAGATATTTCTATACTTTTTTTTGAAACTTGCTTACACGACAAACGCAAATAGCAGTCACTTTGTTATAACTTGAGATATTTCTATACTTTTTTTTGCAACTTGCTCACACACTCGCGGCAATCGATGACGATATTTACTCGATGTTCACGCCGAGGCATATTATCGTACACTGACTATGCTTATACGCGACGATCTATGCAGAGAAAGAAAGTAAAGAATACGTGGACGTAGGAAGATTAGAAAGCGGGCAATGGCATATGCCGCGATGTAAGAGATGCAGAGAGATATACGATGCCCGCAGCATAGACGATGGAATTAGGCTGCTTCTACATGCGTATATAATTTAATTCGGGTGCGCAACTACGAACGATAATATTCAAAACCTATTGAACATGGATCGACTTGCTTACGTCCGAAAAAAAACATTACTACTGACTACAAAACTCGATTTTGTTAAAAAAAAAAATCAAACTATTTAGTTGTAATGACTGTTTTTCTTTTGCTACGACAAAACGGACTCTTTGAACTATGAAAATTGTGGAATTGACCTAAAGTGCTACTATGAATTACTAGGACGCGATTAATGCGAATGTATATTTAGTCCAGGCGCCAGCTATGCATTTTCAGGTCCATAAGATAACCAAGGCTTTTATAGGTCTTTTGGTGTGCTGAATCGATTTAGCTTGGTTACCAAGCGTTAAAATTGGTACTTCAAAAGTTATGAACAAATTTATTGTTTATAACTTGAAAAATTTGTTCAACAAAATCTGAAAAAATTCCCACGTATTTTTTGATTAATTCTAAGGATTTTTTGTTCTTTGCATTTTTTCGTTTGAAACGTTCCCTACCGAGTTAGAAAATTTTAAAGTTATTTTTTACGCACGAATTTGTTTAGAAACCAATCGTATTTTTAATCTTTACGATTCTATAACTCAGTAAGGAACGTCTCAAACGAAAAAATGCAAGGAACAAAAAAGTCTTAGAATTAGTCAAAGAGTACGTGTGAATTTTTTAAGATTTTTTTAAACAAATTTTTTAAGTTATAAACAATAAATTTGTTCATAACTTTTGAAGTACCAATTTTAACGAAAATGCATACTCGAACCATAGCTGGCGCCCCGACAAAATCGTAGCCGCCTTCGACTGCAATTCTTCGCTTCGCTGAATACTTCAAGATTTTTGAATATACGTATTATCACGAAGAAAACGAGGTATCTCTACGATGGGACGAGCGCGCAGTAATTGACCGATTTTTTCTCTAAACCGAGCTCGTGTACTCGTCCGAGCTCAAAGAACGAAGAAACGACGACCAAAATCTTAGACTCGAAAACTCATTGGAAAATCGGATTTATCGCACTTCATTCGGTTCTTAAACGCCACGATCTCTCGTGGTATTTTCTCAGCTTAGGTGTAGACGTTTTCACGAGTATAGACGCGTATAGTACACGCGCGCGCGTGCAAGAGAGAGAGAGAGAGAGAGGGAGAGAGGAAGATGTAAAACGAGGTTTACGAACTGTACGTCCGCCAGCAGCAGCAGAGTCGAGCTATATCACCCACCCACACACCCACACACACTCACGCACATCTACACACATGCAGCGGGAATCGTAGCCGGCTTTTCTCGGCACGCACATTCAACCGGCGGCGGCGGCGAGCTAGCTCCGGCTGGCTGGCTGGTTGGCGCTCACTCCAGACTTTATCCGATCAATATTGCCATGGTTACGAGCCTCCACCACCGACGCACGCGCTTACGCATATAAGTGACACTATCGTCGTCGTCGTCGTCGTCGTCTCTTCCCCCGGACTTTCTCTACTACTACTACTACTACTACTACTACTACTACTACTACTACTACTACTACTACTACTACTACTACTACTACTACTACTACTACTACGATCTACACACGTTTGCCCTTGGCTGGCGTCATGTGACACGGAACGAGCCCATAGAATACGAGCGGAATAGTTTTATAGCTTTATAATTCACGCACACACGTATATATATGAGCGGCACATGCAGCACGCAGACCTGCCGTGTATATAATATATATGTAAGCGTATGTATGCAGCAAGCATTGCGAAAAGATTAAGTACCCGGTGTTGGTAAAAATAAAAATTCTGGTGAATAGCCGAGAGAAAACAACATTTTTTTTAGTTTTTATATGGAGTCGGGAAAAATTTCGAAAAGATTCATTCAGAGTCTAGTTTTGGATTCCGATCGTAGAAGAATTAGACATATTTACATTCGAAATTTTTTGACGATAATTTTTATTGGAGCCCTGATAACTATTACAAGTATTTCTGAAGTATAAGAGAAAAAAATTATGTGCTTAAACATTTTATGAAACTTCCTCTGAATATGTTTCCAAAAAGTTCCATAATATATATTACTCGTTCAGATAATCTCGATGCAAATATCAGCAGGACTAAATAAAAGCGAGCTCGATCTTTTGCGCAATGTTGTCGTAGGGCGGAGTACGTGTCAATCAGCTCTTGGACGTTTTGCGCGCGCGGCTTTGCAATCGAGTCCTCCGCGCGTATAGTAACTTATGTCTATAATTTTTTTGCAACCATAACTCAACTCTACCATACGTATAGCGAGTGTCAAGTATTTTGGCGTATTTCTCGCATAAACATAGAGGGAAAAGCGAGGCAGTTTGTTGTGTCATCGAAAGATGGTCAGCTGCGAGGACTCGCCTCGCCGTCTGTGCAGTCCACCTCGATTTAGAACTTCGACAATTAGGCTCAACACTGATTGCCAGCTTAATTATAATTGTAGCCTAATTTTTTGTGCAATTGTACAGGGGAGTCGAGTGTCTCTTCATTAATTAATGATCGGCTTTGTATCGACCAGCCTATCACACTTTCACGCCTGACTTGGGTTAATTAATTAATATTCGCGCGTTGACATATTAATTGGCATCGTAACCTGGGTTACGACGATTTCACACCGATTTTTTTTTCAATTTTAATAAAATATCAGAGGGGTTTCGCTAAACTTTAAACTCTCGCAGTTTTAATATTATCAGAAATGCATATTTTTTATATTTATATGTGTACTTTTGAATATACCATACTTGCATATTCAAAAATTTACCTTTAGTTTGTAAGTTTGTAAGTTAATTACGTAATGATAAGCGACAGCTTATATTTTTCACTTACTGTACATAGTTCTTATACTACCTTAAGTTCTATGTTATTTGCTAATATAAAGATACACAGTAGATTACTGCGCATACAGGTAAAAAAGTAGGGAGTATAATGATCGTCAGTTAGTGTAAATAAGTACAGGAGTGTAGAGAATTCAGTCGTAATACCTTCTCAAATGGTGACGAGAAATTCAAGTCTCAGTGTTAAAAAATAAATTGGAGCCGATTTTTTCGTACTTTGATTGTCATGTTGCAAATACGAAAGATCACGAATAATTTGATGAATAATGATTTATGAAGTAATTATTAGTGTCGTACATTGAATGGGTATCATGAGCTATCGATAAATCGAAACTTCATTTTTTTCACTTGAAAAAGAAAAAAGATTTATTTTAATTATGCTTGAAAATGTTTGGCGATTTTTCTTATCCAACTATGTTTCAAATGACCTGAAAATTACGATTTTAACTGTTTCACAAAATTTGGACTAGTTTTCAACCACTAAATAGGCAACAGCACTTTGAGTGTCCACCGCCAGATGGCGAGTACCTCTATTTCCAAATCTGCAAGTGGCAAAGTAAAAATAATTATATAAGTGAAAACATCTAAGTATGCAATTTTCGTGTATCTGTCTCTTATCTTTTGACTTCCGATGCTCTTTTATGTCCAAGAAAACTTTTCGTTAGCCAAAAATCAGCCATTAAATATTGAGCATTTCTATACCAGGGTATTTATCTTATATAGATAGGTACAATAAATAGTTCTCATTTAAGAACTTGGATTTAACATTGATCGTTCATAATTATAATTTTATATTACATTTTGCGTACGGATTAAAGAGCACGCCTGACTAATTGTGACAGTATGCGAGTATTTATGGTGCGCGCTAAACTGAATTTGAAAAAATTCGAGCGCAAACTTTTACAGTCAGAGAGGAAATTTTTTTTAAAATTGTATTGTAATTTTTTCATGAACACTTCTTTTACCCTGCATTCGAAAATCTAATATTGACAATGTCGTTTTTCCATTCTCAAAATCAACACCATATTAATTATCTTGTATAAGTATTCTAAGTAGTACAAATATTTATTTTTCATCTAATCATTCCTTCACACAAATCCTGAGTTTAATTCATTAAAATAAACGCTTTTGCAATCCAACATCGTATTTTACGGAAAACAAAAATTTATGTCTCCAACTGTGCAAATTAGGAGAAAGAAAGAGAGAGACAGAAGCAGAGAGAGAGAGAGAGAATCGATTTGGGCGTTGCCCTGCGAGATAGTTAGCCTCAGGGAGAAGAAATAGATACACTCTGTAGAGGCGGCTCGCGCCATCTCGCGTGCACTCTTTGCCACTGCCGCCTCTCCTCCTTGCAGATATATACAACGGATTTGCTATACACACGCTTCATCTCGAGCACGTGTCTCGCGCGATCGCCGCTCGTGCACGCGAGGATTTCGCGCCTTTTAAACTTCGTGCTTGTGAGAGCGAGAAGTGAGCTTTTGGAACTGAATTGTTTTTAAAGAGATTCACTTTATTGAAGAAACTTGAATAATTTTTATTTGCATTTAAAAGTACATTCTTGACTCACCTTTAATTTTTACATAATTTTAATATGAACTTCTCTTCCTTTCTACTTTGTTGACAAATTCTTCGTTTATTATCAAAGAATCAAGTCATACCCTCACCTTTTAATATTTTAATAATGAAACAAATGTTATATTTCATAATGACATTTTGCCAAGCGCTTGTTTTACAGTTATTCTCAGTAAAATCAATAACAAAATGGTCCATTTTTTGCTTGCAGGCGGCGATTTTACAACAAACTGCAGAATACATCTATCAATTGGAGCAACAAAAGACACAGCTACTATCACAAAACTTGCAGTTAAAGAGACTGGTGGATCAGCATGAAGGTGCGGGTGACGTAGTCAACAGTAAAAAGAGAAAAACGAACGATAATCATGGTAAGTGGACGATTTTACCAGATAAATCTTCCTTGAAAGCGTGACAAAGTTTTTCGATGCAAACGGTAGCGAGCTTTTCAAATGCTTTTCCTTATATCTCCTACCGAATCGGCCTTAAGAATCTCACATCCGAACGAACGATTGTTCTCGCTGTTATCTTATCAGTAAGGCATATATATAATACGCTCGTAATAATCTGTCATGCATTCGGGGATTTTAGTCAGCACTCGATACAGTGGTTATCAATGGAATGCATTGTGGCTTGACGCTCATTTTTTGGCTTCAAGATATACCTACACCGAAGTCATAACAGAAATGAATACTTTTTAAAACTTCCTCTGAGATTTCTTCTAAATATATACAGAGGCATTGATATCCTTTCGATGGTTTTATTTATTTTTTTTTAATCTTGACCTCAATCTCGTTCTTTAAGTTGCAATAGCTTGTATATTCAATGTGAAAAATTTCAGTGATATAAATAAAAAATACTTTCCATTTATAATGAATTCATTAAAATATAAAATAATACAGTGCTCAGTATTTAAATAAAAATGCACAATTATTAGGGACAACCCAGTCAATTTATTAAAAAATCAATCTGCTAGTAAAATAAAGAATAAAATATATTGTAATCAATTTTTATCTATTAACCGGCCATGCGGGGTATAAGAAATGTATCAAAATACAGGATAACGTTTCAATTGTTTTTCTCGTTATCGTTGCAGGTGTCGTGGTGAGCCTGCCGGTGCACGTGAGCGAGAGCGTCGACGAGGGTCTCGGCAGCATGTCGCCCGAGCCCCTGTCCGTGATAACGTTACCCGCGGCCGACGGCAACAACGCGAGTCACGTGACGACGTTAGCCGCAGTCGCCGGCGTCAGCAGCAGCAGCAACGACACGAACGAGCTGAAGCGTCAACTGGAGTGCGAGCGAGCGGCTCGGGCCCATCTGGAGAAGCAGCTGAGACTGCTGCAGGCGCAGATCTTCCCCGAGCGAGGATATCGCGAGGAGCAGCAGATCATCGCCTATCAGCCGCACGAGGTGAGAGATTTGATTGTTTTATTTTTTGTAAGATACGTGAGTTATATTTTCTCTCGAGTAATGAGAACTCGTGGCGATGAGGAGATAATATATATGGGAGTTGCGTTATGACATATTTTTTTCATACGTAACGGCGATGCGAGCGTACTGCTATTTAATAATTATGAACAACAAATAAACAAACAAAAAATAACTAGAAAAACGTTTGGTCATGATGAATTTTCTATTACCATCTAGGACAGGAATTGCGGGACTGCGAGTCTCATCGGACGTTTGCGAGACGGCGTTGCGACGATACTGCGGAGATGTTGCGTGGCCTTCGTGTGAAACCATAATAATCCGCTCTCTTTCTCGAGCGACCAATTTGATAGGGGTGTGGGTCAGTTGACCCTTTAAAGCTTTGAAGCCGCATCTGCGAATGACACAGGCACAGATTATATAAATAATATTATATATTGTTTACAAAAGGAATACTATCTCCTTGGCAATTATTCCATTAGTTACTATGTAATTTTCTTTAATGCTCTCTTTCTCAACAACAACCATCACATTGAACAATGACTCTCTCGATGTTATGTGATTTTTCGTGAAGCGATTGTCGTGTAGGTTGCATTTGAAGCACATTCATCAACATCATCACTTGTGAGACTCGATGAAAGTCCATATAATATCTTCATAAATTATGTTTACTCACACACATTATATAGCAAAGCTGACAAAACTAGCGCATGAAAATCCTGTATGATTTCGCTTGTTATCATTACATACGAATAATTCAAGTGAATAACAAGTGAATGTATATCTTTCTTGCAACCCAAACATTAGATGATTATTTGTTGTATTTTAAAAACAAAAGCTTAATTTTGACTTGAGAGTGAAAAGTATTATGAAGTCATTCGAAAAGTACAAAGTTTTATCATTGCCAGTATTATTATTATACATGGGTGATTCTCGCAAAAATGATGTTTCATGATTTGACACACGAGCACGAATGAACTTTTTCCAGTTTTAGCGGTAAGCAACATCGTGGTGCTGGGCACAGTATTTAGGACCCGTTAAGCGACAATCAAAACATCGTATTCGAGAGAATCACTCATTTGTAATACGCTGTAAAAATTTTCTGTTTCTTTCTACAATTCATTGATAAATCGACATCAATCATTAATATTGGATTTCATATATAGCACTCAAAAAAACGAAAACATGCAACTCTGCAGCTATTTTTTTCAGTTCTCTTGCTATAAAATGATAGTGTGCCAGTATTATTGCGCAAATATGCCGTCTCAGCGAGACTCTCGTTGAGCTTTTTCGGCTCTCTGTTTCAAGCCCCGTTCTCGTTTCATCGAGACGGCATGTATGTGACAAGTAATGAACTATACATATATCACGCAGGTTTATATATAGCTGATCCATGAGCAGTGACCATTTGATTGCAAGTTATTAACATTATATTATTCCTTTCTTTTGACGAACGATTATACTTAATTGCATACACGATGATTCAGTTGAAATAATGGCATTATGGCTACTGAACATCTTGGATCGTGCACGATTTTATTATCATTGACGAATATTGTTTGCTAATTTTACTACTACTACTACTATACTATAATAATAAGTGATTAAAAACGATAAGTATATTTTAGTCGATCACTTGATTGCTTTGATATTTCATGAATCATGAATAATACGACGAGTACCCCGTTTCGAGTGAAATAACAGTAAGGATCGCTCGATCGTACGGGTGTATCGTACGGACAAATGAAATAACAACTTCGTAAAAAAAAACTATTTATATTGTATTATGCGCTGACTGTCTCTCGATGCAATACGAAAGTAGTGAAAAAAAAAAAAAAAAACAAGCATCGAATCGCACAAGCGTACAAGCGGATCAATGAAATAGCACGTGACTTTTCTCTCTGCCTTCGGTTGCAGGTGATCGAGCACACCAACAACGTGATCAGCGCGCAGGAGGTCGTCGACGACGGCATCACGAGTCTGCAGGTGGTCTCGGTCGTAGCCGTCCCTTCGGTCGGCTCGACGCAGACCATCGAGACGTCCTCGGTGGTGGGCGATCAGGACCCGACGCCGCCGCTGTCGCCCAGCGATCAAGGCGCCTGCGAGATCATCGTGGCCACTACGGCCGCGTCGGCGGCCAACAACGACGACGGCAGCGGCAAGGACCAGCAGCAGCAGCAGCTGATGAGCGCCCAGGATCTGCTGCAGCAGGTCGAGTCGTCGCGACCAAACAGTCCGAAGATTCTCGGCTTCACGTTCGCCACCAGCAGCGGCGCGACGACAGCGAGCAACAACAGCGAGGATCAGCAGCAGCAGATATCGAGCAACGGATCGAGTAGTAGCAGTACGCCCTACTCGACGACGCCACTGCTCGGCTCCTCCTCCTCCGGCACGACGACGGTGACGAATCTGCAGGATTTTAAAGTGTCGGGAGGCTGCACGGGACAGTACATAACGTCCAGCCCGACGAGGCCGTTCTCTCCCAACGATGCGGTGGGAGTCGTGACCCAGCGGATACCCTCGGTGTTGGAGGCGGCCATGAAGGCCGAGCCCAAAGTCGAGGTGGAAAGGTAGGCTCGATCGTTTCGAATATTAATTTGCATAACTATATTTTTGACACGAACTAAACGGTGATTTTACTTTTGTTTAATTAGATTACCATCTCCGTCGAATTCTTTGGACGATGGAACGCCGCAGGCACGATTATACTTGGCAGCGAACACATCCAGACAGAATCTCGAGACTATCGTCGAGGCAATAAGACACTTGGAAGGCGACCATTTGTTCGGCGACGAGCCGGCCCAAGACAGGCCGCTCGCGCTCACCAACAAAACCATCAGCAGTCCGAAGCATCGACTCTTGCGGGCCGAGGTTAGCAATTTCCTTCAGTTCAGTCCACAGCAGCAGCAGCAGCAGCAGCAGCAGCAGCAGCAGCAGCAGCAGCAACAACAAACGCAGCTACAGCAACAAAAACAGCAGGATCAAAAGCAAACGCAGCAGCGACCCGGAGTGATCGTCGCCAAGCACTCGTGATCCAGCGGCAGCGCTCTGCAGCAGCACTAGCTCCGAGTGGCACGGTACTCGCTAGTTCCCCCCCACGTGGCCGGCGTGCGCCAATACTGTTAATTATATTTTGTACTATTATACTCGCGGAACGTAGACTTATATTAAATAATAATGATGTGATGGTTCTAGCTCTTAACAAAAGGTTATACATCGTCTTTTCGAGTTTCTTTTCTTTTTTCTTTTTTTTTCTTTCTTCATGAGACTGATCTGTGATTTATAAAGTTTAAAATATAAATTAAAATGCTAAGCCCGTAATTGATACTTTGTTAACTTGGAGCAACTAGTTAGATAAAAAAGAAAAAATCAAAGACGTTTTAAAAATTAATGAATCTAATTGGTAGTATGTCCAATTTTAATATGCTTTCAGATATTCGCGCAACAGCTTTAGTTCTGAAATCAATTTTTTTCTTCTAATTTTATCCATAACGATAATATGATGATATAAATAAAAAAAAGCGATGCATCAAGAGCTAGACTGAAATTAATTGAAAAAAAAGCCGATGATACCTTAAGATTTAAAAATTATTTTTAGTTCGAATTTTTAATATATATGAAAGAAAAAATTGTAAAATTGAATTATCCGTTGACTTTTCTTGACTAAAATGAATCGAAGGGCGGCTTTCGTCCAATGGTGTATTGTGCAAACGAATGCTCACACATTGGCGGTGGAAAGTTAGCTGCTGAATTTCTTTCGAAGCGTGTATAATCTGTGCCAAATGAAGGAGTATCGTGACTTTTGTTCCTTCGTAGTTTTTAAAGAGGACAATCCGATGGACTTAATCACAAATTCAAGCGATAAACATGCAGAAATGAACAGAACAACTTTTGCCCTGAAAAAAGAAATATTACATGTTGAGCAGCTTGCGTTTGTACACTTTCCTATCGTAATAACATTCATTAGAGCTGTAATGCAGCTAATTTTTTTTAATTTGCATACTTCCAGCTTAATTTTGCAAGCAGTGTAATAATTATCATTGTTCAATATACGAAGAAGCGGGAAGAATATCTTTTTAAGAAAAAACTAAGAATAGACCTTTGCATTTTGTTTTGTTTAATACATTAAGGTAATTTCACGGGACGAATATTAGTCATTGTAGACCTATTATACAATTTAATTGGTTTATAACCAATCAAAATAAAGAAATCGTACACACATAAGGTAGTGCGTGATAATTTAAATGTAGCTTTTGAACTATGAGTTATATTAATGTAGTTTAAGCTATAAAAAATTGATTTGTTTCCGAGTGGTCGCTACTGACATAGTTATCTACAAGTTTGATTGAGAGAAACGTAGCATTTTCAAAAAGTATAAGATTTCAATGACAATTTCGAATTGAGAGCAACATATAACTCTAAAGCATTAATCTTAAGTAGCAGTTGTCTCGTGACAAAAAAGCGGTTAAAAATACTTATAAAACATTCAAATAGCTTGGTCGAATGCTTATCAATTGACGAAACAATATATACCCAAATAGAATTATGATGCTACCGATACTGTTTGTGCTATGAAATAGCGCAGGAAAGGTTGAACAGAAAAATTACACTGTCCGAAAGAAATGAATATTGCCAAGAAATTAGATTAGCATTTGATAAGGTTTTTATTAATCTTGTACTGAGGTTACGACGCTCGAAATGCGATCCTGCACTTCACGTTTTTCTAACTACCAAACATGTAGTTTACGGAGAAAATTTTTCACGGTAATCGAATTTTTACTTGTGCCAGAAATAATTTCCTGGCAAGATACATATTTTTTCATTAGTATACTTTTTTATAGTTTGGTTATTATTTATCGATGTCATCTATGCATCAGTTTTAACAAGTAATTTATGAGTATTTCTCGTAGACACAAAACAACCTGAGCATGACAATTTTTTCACAATCATAATAATCGTCGGGATGCCCTCTCATTTCGGTTATTTGATAAACATATTCGCGTTTTTATCAAGTGTAAACATGAAATATTTGAACACTCCTAAAAATGGACCTATTTAATATCGAAACATTTCATTCATATGAAAAGCACGTACCCTTTTCAAGTTAAATTATATTATTAAAACATAACAATACTCAAAATTTAAACCCAACAAAGAGTTAGTTGAGTATAATCATTTGATTTTTTTATAATAAATCTGTACTTTTCAGGTCAACTTTGAATTTCTAAAAGTAATATCAAAGAAGTAACGGAAGTATTTTAATTCAGAGAGGCCTAATTCATTTGAAGTATATAATCATTCGAAAAAGCATTCTGAATATTAAGCATTTGTTTAATGCACAAATGAATTTCCAAGCAGTGGATTTGATAAATTTTTTATACATCGGTCGCAGGAATAATTACTTCACGGTGCATTTTTTGTCGAAAACAACACACTAAAGATCTTTTTAGACCACCTAAAACTTCATCTTACTTAAACGGCAACTTTTTGTATTGAATGAAAAAATCTTAACTTTTAAAAAAATTGAAGTTCATTTAGAAAGACGAATAAAATCTTCATTCGTTATGAACTTGTATTTACATGAACGCATTTTGTATACGAATTAAATTTAAGTATAAAATTAAAAACTGTCATGTTATACGTCTTGAAGATAACAAAGCGAGTAATCTTAAGCACAATTTTTATAAGCCGTATTTGTTTTTCTAATATCTTATAGATCCATTTTTTAATAAATTTTACTTTATAAATCACTTTTAATCTGTTTCTAGTACACATTTATCTGTCGAAGCAATTATGTAAGGTACTTCTAATCATTAGTCGGGTGCATGAGATTTGGTGCTGCCGGTATTTTTAATATGCTCCCTCGCGAAGTTAAGGGTAAAAAATGCTCGTAGCGGTCACCGGAACGTTGCGTTCCTGTATAAAACATTTTCCTTGCCATCATAAATTGCTATTGTCGCGCACCCGGCTTGAACTAAAAATATCAACAAATGATACCACCCTTTTCATCCCCACTTTTACCAATAACTAATTACGTTTGAAAATCAAAATCTGCTTTTCAAATAAAATAGAATTTCACGTCTACGTAATAATCGAACTAAAGTCAAATTTTATTCACGAAACTTTATTTACATACAACTTTTTTTTCTGTATAGATTATTCTTGTAAGTAGAAATGAGAAACTTCCGATCTGCATACATACAATAAGGAATAAATGTAATTAAATTTATAAGCTATAGAAGAGTAATTATGAAATACTTTATTCTTCGTTACATAATATATAGCTCATCATTTGTATATCTAGAAAAATTTTACATTTGTTAGTCTTTATTATCAATCAGAATCAGATTCAAAGTTTTTCATTACATTTCGCGCGTAAGTGGAATGTGCGCTACGTTCTCTACATCAAACACAATGAAATTTGCTAAAAAAGAAGGCAACAAATTATATATTTATCGAAAAAATCCAATCTCACACTAGAAAAATAAGTTTTTTATTTAAGTATAGCAGGCTTCATTCTATTTAATTGTATAGAAATAAACACACAGATGACCTCGCATGCAGTTGTGGCGAATATGTAAAAATTCGTACGAAACTGCTCATTTTTGTTTCTGTATAACCCTTGAATGAAAGAACCCATAAAACACGCAGTTATGGCGAATGATGACTGATATATATTTTCTGCTAAACTAATACATTTAAGTAGTGTAAAGACGATTTGTATTTTTAAAAATAGTTTTTATTATCATTTTCCTTTTTGTAAGGCAAAAATCGATCGAAGGCTTGTAATGATTTGAGCAAATTATTTTCTAATGATGGGAGCTTACTTATACAGTAAAAATTATTTTGTTTTTGTTTGAATAATAATACCAAAATCGGGTATTGCTTATGTATGATAATTTATATTTTTTGTAAAAAAAACCGTATTTACAAAAAAAATTTTACCCACACGTTTGTAAAGTTTATAAAATATACAGCTTTTCATACCTCACTTTTGTGCTTTATTTTTATTTATATATGAAAAAAATGATGTTAAATATTAAGATTGGCTGGCACACAAAAACTGTTTTTTCGATTTCTAATTCAGAAAAATATCATTTTTATCAGACAGTGAAGAAATCGTTGAATGCGTTGCTAGCTAATCCAACATGATAACATGTATGAGTAAAAAAAGTTAGTTTTTCTCTCATTTGAAAGCAGTAGTTGGACGTCATATTCAAGACATGTTTTTATTGATGTGTAAAAATAATGCAGACTTCATCGTAAACTGATTAATAGCTAGTTTTAATTTCTATCGAGGATTAGGTATTACGTTGTTCACATTAGGAAAAAAAGAATTATCGATACCATACAAATTATTAGCGTCGTGATCACAATATTTATATGTCACTCTAGATTGTAAACATTTTAAACGAGCTTTATAATGAAAAAAAAACAAAGAAACGACTGAACAAGAAAGTTGTAATCAAGTAATGACATTTTACCGTACTGAATAAACTTCAAAGCTCACAAAATTACAGTATACAGGGATTAAATGAACTAAAAACGGTTTTAAATTTAAAGTTCGTCTGATTAAAAAAGTATAAATCTAAGTTGAAATATTAACCGACAGAAATAAGAAAACGAAAAAAAATAAAAAAAAACTTGAGAAAAAGTTGTTAAAAAAGTTCCTAAGCCGTGGTGTGTCAATGTATGTCGCACGGAGGAATTTCATACTTAAGATTACTGTATAGTTGAATTTAATGAAAACTAAACTGACTGCCATTTAATAATCGAGAACAAAGAACTTTACCTATCCATTTTAATGTCTAATAAAAAAGAATACATCGGATTGAATTTTGTCAGCTGTTGCATTTAAAGACTGTATACAATTTTTACAAAGAAAAAAAACTTGGTATTAGAATTAAGGAACGCGTGCAGCTAATTGACCTGATATACAAACCTGAGCTTCCTTTTTTATAGGAAACCTTAATATGAATTTCAGGCTCCCCTCAATTTTTAACGCAACCTGCTGTACAATGATCAGCTGTGTTTTTCGGTCATTTAATCGTCGATTTTTCACGTTAAATCAACACCACAGTTTGATTTACAAAATATCAGTTGAAGTAACTAATGTTGCATAAAAACTTTGTAGCTTTCTCGTTAGGTAAAAGAAAACAAAACAGAATCAATTGTATTGCCTTGGAATGCGACTATTTTATGCGCTATTAAAAATGAGAATTATTATAATACGACCAGATGTTAAGATTTTTACCGAAATATTCAATTCGTCGTTTCTTTTGAAAGCAAAACTTTTTTCACCATGATTCGTATGCAAACTATAAAAGACTTGAAAACACAATGCTATGATACATTTTGATTTGTCAAAGCGCACTTTTTTACGATTGACCATAAAGCTCTTGGGTACGTGAGTAAAAATGTCGATCAAAAGGGTATTTTATTTGTGTAACTTCGAGATATAGGATGAAACAGAGAAAAATTTTTTTAACGAAATTTCTGGGCGAGCCCTTATAACATTGAACTTGAAAAATGGAAAATACATACAAAAAATAAAAAATACTAGTCTAAACGAATAATTTTCTTTTTATTCCTACGTGGTAGCTTATAAGATCCAGAATTAGAGACTTTCATTGTGTGAACGCTGATGAAATGTCTGGAGCACGTTCAAGTTCCCTAAATAACGAAAAAAAAAAACATACTGAAAACTTAAAATATCAAATTGTATATGCCGATACATACTCTTGAAAAAAAGTACGACGCATGATTGTAATGTGCATACACGCAAGATACCATATACACGATAAAGAAGTATGTTCAAAAAGCTGAGACATTTTTTAGTGTTTTTTTTTAAACTTGTGCATACCTAGAAAAAAAATTGAGAGACGATGAAAGAGTGAAAAAACAGCTGAAGAATGCATTTGTATTTTGTATACATAAATGATGTGTGCATATGGTGTCGATGAGAGAATCGCCAAGCATGAGCAGAAAAAAATTAATTAATAAATAAACACGAAATCGATATACTGGCAAACATTTTGTAAGCTTTTTATTTGTTAAATCATTACTTCGCGACTATGATGAAAATCATAAAAATAATAATGGAAAGAAAACAACAAAGCAACGCAATAATAACAAAAGCCTCTGAGGAAAAAAAATAATAATGAAGTCAGAGCGCAAGTGATATAGTTAAAAAGTGCGAGTTGGGAAAATTGAAGCAAATAATGAAAAAAACAAATTGAAGTAAAATATAAAATAATCCTCTGTGATGTAACTGTATGACTTGATTTTATTATCAATTTCGATGATTGATTGATTATTTTTCAACGAATCCTAATGATTGTATAAAACTTTAATTGAAGTTAAGGTTACGCTTTATATTGTACCTACCCCATCCTCACTTGTCTCTATATATACAATACTCGAGTCCTACATTAATGATATTGTTTTATCGTTTGTTTTTGTACTATAAATTTATAATCTATAAGTAATACTGAAAACAAAATTATAAGAACGAACTTGTCGATATAAGATTTATATATTCCACCACATAAGACTTGTAGATAGTTATTTAGGACATCATTTCAACAAAAGAAATTGAAAAAAAAACTAAAAAAAAAAAAAAACAAGGGAAGAAGCGACCACGTAATGTACGTAATGCACACGCGCCAATGTGCAAACTTGATTTTTCCTCGTGTATGATTTTTCTTTCGCATGATTGAGGAAAAATTATTTATAAAATGTAACTGAACAAGTATAAATATATATTGTAAACATCATCAGGATCGAGAAAAAATGAAAAAGTTGCACTATTTTTCATTAAGAAACATCTGTGGTGTGTACGTGCGTGTGATTGTAAACAAAAAAAAAAAAATACAGTCACGAAGAAAAGCACACACCAATACACACATATAAATATATATTATACATCTTTTTGACAAGGATCGTGTAAGGTGTTATTATTATGTAAAATGTAGAGTATAAATGAAAAGGCATTTTTAAACATTTGTATACTTTAAAAAGTAACTTAAAGAGACATATATTCATTGCTACTGTCGTATAATACAAACAAACAAAAAAATACTTCATCGACTATATTGTTTATTTATTTATAATTTCTTTTTCTAAGCGTATACTATATAGTATTATTTATTCGAAAGAAAAATAAACGTTTTTATGTTTAAGAATATTATTCAGTTGAAGAATTTATTAAATAAAAAAAACTACAAGTACACAAGGAGAAATTTTCAATTTTTTCCTCCAAATGTCAATTCGCTCGCAGTCGTTCGATCGATACGCCGTAACCGTCCTTCGAGCGCACCGATATGTCCATTTTCAGTCGAATATCGTCCATCGTCTTGCTGCTGGTCAAACGATAGCTTCGCACGACGTGGCCGATGATCGTTTTCAATAGCATCATGGCAAATTTTTGACCTGTTTATAAAAATGAACGAGTTAATCGGTGAATGTGAAATAAGTCGGTGTGCTTTCGCACCAATGCATCCTCTGATCCCGGCGCTGAAAGGCACGTAGGCGAAGGCGTGTCGATCGCTCGAGTTTTCTGGCGCAAATCGTTCGGGTAGGAAATCGTCCGGTTGTTGCCAGTACTTTGCACTTCTGTGAGTCACGAAGGGCACCATGAGGATCGAGCAGCCCTCGGGTATTGTGCAAGTTTCTACACGCATCGAGACAAAAAGATATTTTAAAAATTGTGAAAAAAAACTTGACGATTTTGCTTACCGAGACTTATGTCGCCACGAGCTTGACGCACCATCAACGGCGCGATCGGATACAATCTCATGGTCTCCTTGATCACCATCTCCGTGTACGAGAGCTCGTTCAAATGTTCCATTTCGATACTGCTTGCGGTTCCGACGACTCTTTCCATTTCTTCGCGTACTTTATCCTGAGTCATTATCGTTAATTTTTTTTTCTAGCATTAAAAGCCATCGACGTTATTTATGATTTTTCTAAAAATAGCACACTATAGCTCCAATCATCATACCATAGAAAAAGGGAGCACACAACGATATTATATATAAATTAGCTCGGCAGGCATAAATCACGCAGTTACTCGAGTCACTCGCAACTATTTTATTAAAGTACTCTGCCGAGCGAGATGGATTTATATATTATTTTTTTTTCTTTCCATACATACGAACGAGTTAAACAATTACCTGAATATTTTGGTTCATTGCCAAGTGCAGAATGGCGAACGAGCATATCACCGTCGTCGTGTCTTGTGCCTGTTATAAAACTCGTATAATACGTATATCAAGTCTTCGCTCGAAATATTTTACAAAATCATTCGACTTACCGCCGTGAACATAGTGTAAGTTTCGTCGCGAAGCTGCTCGTCCGTCATGAGATCGGTTCTGGCCACGTGATCGATCAATTGCTCGAGCAGAATCGATCTGCTCGGTTTGTCCACGCTCTTGTGCTCTTTCCACTTCTGAGCTATTGCCTGTGTGTGCATGATAATTTTGTGTAAGCGGTGAAAATTTTATTTTTTTTATCATCGATGACAGTTACCGATTCGATGAAGGTGTGAATGACTTTTTTACCCTGCTCCAGTCTTTTGGCCGTATCGGTCCAACGAAATATCCAATCCGGGTGCAGCCACACTTTCATCATTCGCGTGTGGATCAGTTCGTAGATACTGCAAAAAAATTACGAGATGAATCGAACTGAAACAAATTTGTTACGTTGTTGCTTTGTTAAATTTTCCTGCTGTATTACGTTTCGGTCCAGTATACCAGATCTTCGTAATCTTCTTTTTTCAGATTAGCTTCTACACCCAAAATCGTGTCTGCATTAATAAAAATTTATTATAAGTTCTAAATTTTTATCGATCGAGATGCAGCTTCGATCTTCATATTATACTTTCCAAACATGATATCGAAGGTGCAACGGGCGATGATCGGTTGAACGTCGAATTCACCGCCGTTGACTCTTTTCTCGAGAAGTCGAACGATCTTTTGACCATGGCAATTGATGTACTTCAGGTACTCGCTCAAAGTTTTGCTGTTCAACATCGGCATAATGACTTTTCTGTGCTGCCTGTGCACCGGTCCTGAAAAACGAAATCATCGGCTATACTATAGCAAATATGCTAACAAAATTACTTACCAGATCCACTGACGAGTCCTTGCCCAACGAAGGACTCCATGAATCTGTACACGGGATCTTTGTAAGACGCTTTCGAACATCCTAGAATGACCTACGTAGAAATTCGATTACTGTGTTTGCACGTGTGCCACAAGTGAATAATCAGTGATAGAAATCTACAAAAAAAATTACCTCGTAATCTCGAGGTTCGGTAAGCACGACGAACAGCTTGGGGCCAAGCCAGAACCGCAGCGGAGTATCGTAATTTTTCGCCAACTCTCGTACCTTATCCAAAGTCTCTGTCAACGTCGAATAATTAATCAATCGTAATTTTTGTGGCACGAGTCAACTCCGAGACAAAATTCTTACCATCGGGTCTGCAGGCAAAGTGCAAGGCGTTGCCGATGAGGGGAATCGTCGGTGGGCCCGGTAGCTTCGATGCCAAACGTATCAAGTTTCTTCTCTTTTCGCTGCAACCGAGCAGCAGTTGGACGATCCACAAGCTCGCCAGTACGAGAATCGATGCAGCGAGTACGGTGGCTGAGACAACGAAAAAAAAAACAATGATTTTTCAGGAAGTATACTGACTGACCATTCGCGTAGATGATACTTTTTGCATTGGATAAATGCTGTGATCTAAAATGAGGTGATTTTCAAGCGAATCACGAAGCACTACGTACTAAGAATCATTAATGAGTCGAGCCAAGTCATCGTTGCTGGTTTAAGTTAGCTCATTCACGAAAATTTACTCCTTTGTTGTGGATAATTTTTTTTTATTAATGAATTTGACACTTTGATTCAAAAGGATTTATGTAACGATTTATGCAATGTAAAATAATACTTGACCCCAATCATTTACACAAAGATTTTCAAGCAATTGCACTTTTATAGAAAATAGCGATTTTTTAAATCTTTAGATTATTCGAGTAAATATAAAACGCACTTGAATCGATCTGCTTCGTAAATGCCTGCCACCAACTCGAACACTCCATTTCTTTATGATGACACGAAAACAAAAAAAAATTAGCAATTTCTATTTACGCATATTTGTAAAAACAATACACTTTGCGCGAAGAAGCACATTCTAGTGCGTCGGAGAGAATTCGATTCTGCAAATCGACTGTGTCCAGCTCTTCGACGGCATTTGCCTGTACACACGTTCTTACGCGATGGTACATCGACTACGTGAGTCGAAAGCTTGATATCTGGAATTTCGAGACCTTCAAGATTGTGTATTTGTTTCGAGAACTTTATTCCGTAGATCGGCGAAACGAACGAAAACTGACGGATATTTTTTTACATTGACCTATTATCCTTCCTTGCTTGCTTTCGTATGATTCGAATGCGAAGATTTGATGGGTATTTCGGTGAAATAATAACATAGAGCAAGCACGTGAATATCAATGTTTATTTTTTCAATTTTTAACGCAACCATAATCATAAAAAAGCTTGAAGCATTGTGTACATAATTTTAAAATAATATGCAGCAAATATTACTTGATTTTCTAGTAAAAGTAGTACATCTCTTGAAAATTTTTATGATTTTTATCAATCTCATAAGTAATCTCAGAAAAATTCGAAAATCCTAATGTTTTCAGGTGTTTGATTTTTTTGGAACTTTTTATTGCACCGTAGCATACGCTTTTTTTAATTTTTATGTTCTTGATGTGTACGTAGACAATTTTCGAGACTCGTCGGTTCGAAAGATCGGTGTGCATATCAATAAATGAATCGAAAAGAATTTTTTTTTAATTATTTATTCGATCAAAACGGAAACACGAATGCATCACGAATTATTAGCCGTTGCCGCCAAGCAAATATTACATAAATCTCTGTTCTTCAGCTGCTGGAGGATCATATCGCAAATCTCGATCGGCAGTCGTCCGTGCACCAGCTCCCAGAAAGGATCCATTGCCCAGCGCAGGAAAAAACCTCTCGCCAGTTTCTCGCACAGATGCACGGCACAAGAAGCCACCTCGAATATCGTGAGAGTCTCGAGGAATTCTGTCGAGCTCGCGAACTCGAAGTAATCCATGTACGCGAGTCGTTTCGCCGCCTCGCCGGGTCGAAGTAGCATCAGGTCACGGAGCGACAGGCCCGGAACCACCGTTATCTCTCTCGCTCTGGTCAGCAGCTTCTCGTCGTCGTAGCGCGGCTTCTTACGGAGATCCCAGGATGTCTCGAGCAGTTCGCGCTCGACGAAGAGTCGCGCGATCTCGAGGGCGTCTCGGCGCTCCAGCTCGTATCCTCTCTTCTCGAGACTCGCGACGGTGGCCAGAGCCCCGGAGGCCGCTCTCAGCTTGAAATTGTGCCTTTTGCCCAAGTGCAGACAGCGCGTTACCCCGCCGAAATAACTCGAGTCGGGGAAAACGAAGCTGGACAGGTCCGCGCCACGATCCAAGAGCACGTCGACCGCCAGCGGCTTGCACCTCGCCACGGCCCACTGAAGAGGTGTCCTGGCCAACTTGTCCAGTGCGTCGATCCTCACGGTCCGCCGAAGCTCGTCGCAGGTCCGGAAAAATATCTCCACCAGGTCGCCGTCGTGCACGCTGCTCTTGCAAAGGACGTGCAGACAAGTCGACCCCTCGTCGTTGGCCGAGCACGGATCGGCGCCTCGTCTCAGCAGCGTCGCGCTGTTGTTCTTGTGGCCGCGAGTCAGGGCGCACTGCAGCGCCGTCCAGCCCTCGGGGTCCGGGGCGTCGATCCGCAACGTTCGCCGCAGAGCGTCGCACGTCTCGAGAAACGACTCGAGCGAGCCGTCGTCGTCTCGGGGTCTCCGACAGACGAGCTGCAGAGGGGTCAATTTCGTTCCCGAGTTCGCGTCGGCGCCGGCTCGGAGCAGCAACTCGGCTACGTCTCGTCTGTCGTGCCACAGAGCCAAGTGCAGCGGCGAATCGCCTCTGTCCGCCGTGAGCCGATCGAGATCCCGATCGACGACCGACCGGCCGAGCTCCAGGAGGAATCTCTGGACGACGTCGCGACATCCCGCCTTGCAGGCCGCGTGCAAATGCGTGAAGCCCTCGTCGTCCATGTGATTCACGTCGAATCTGTGGTAAATTTTAAAGAGCTCGGGCACCATGGATTCCCAGCCGAAGGGAGTGCGACGAGCCGCGTAATGTATCGGTGTGGCGCGACGCAAGACCGGCTCGCCGTTCTCGTCGACTTTGGGCTCGTCCCTGTAGCCGCTGCGAGCCACGAACTCGATGATTAGCTTTTCCGGCCGACCGACGACCGAATACGAGAATTTTACGGAATCCATCAGAAGATACTCGATTTCTTCGCGACGAAAAATGTCTACGAGATTCGGAAATTGACCTTCCCAATTTCTGATCAAGTCGCAAAGTCGACGAAGAAATGTAACTCGCTCCTCCTGGACTTTCCAATGGACACTTTCTCGTAAGCTCCTCAGTCGTTCCAAGCTCGTGGACATTGCTCTGAATGATCACGCACAATTGTCACTTGTGTAATTTAAAATGGCGATAATTTAATTTTTTTACTAAAAATAATTACACCCGTTGTTGACGAGATATGCCTCGATGTTCACACGGCAGCGTCGTAACGTGTACTGACTCTTCGTGCACTGCGATCTACACTAGAGAGTAAAAAACCCGCGAGGCCGTAGCTGTAGAAGATACAATTAACTGCGAGCGATATTTACTGTATATGTAAAACGATTCGTTTTCCCAATAGAAAACGTAAACATAGCGAATTAGGGGCTTTGCCTACGCTAGTCTGTATATTATTGTTATTATTGTCGCGTATTTTATACAAACAGGTGTCCCTCGCAACGCTGCATTTTCGTTTTCTCTTAGGAAACGAATCGTGTTACATCTAATGTACTGTAACAATTAATAAGTAAAAGTTCAGCGTAATAGGGGTCAATAGTATGTATGCATATGAGTTAATGGTAAAAGCAGTACATAACTTCGTATAGATCACGCCTCTACTTCAGTTGACTTTAACTTTCTAATCTTTCCTGAATTACGCACCTGCATTCGCTGCTTTTTTTTCTTCTTGGAACAGCTCAAGTTTCAGCATTACAGCCAGCTACACGGCTTATACACACTTTTTCCGCAATGCATGGATTGGAAAAATAATTATAGTTAGATCCAGGAAAAGTAAATATCTATATCAGCAAATGTTGCAAATATAGAATGACAATTTTTCTGTGTCAGCAAGATATCTTTTGCTAATTCAGCGATCCAATTTTGTTTGATTTACCCGTACGATTTTTTTCAGGATGGAATTAACAGTCGAAATTTAGAGTAGCAGATCAGGTCTCGTGGCATGAATTTATAACTCGCTCGCTTGCCCACACTCAGGCAAAGACTGCAGTTTTCAATGCAGCTTATGAAATTGAAATGCATTTGCTCACTTCAAAATTGAATATTGATATATTCTAACATTAAATTCTTGAATGGATATTTTTTCGATCGTCATATTTTGAGCATAGAAAATGTTTAGCATGAAAAATAAGTTTTGAGAAAAACTATGATCACTACTGGAAAAAGCAGGTAAAAATCAATCGACTTGCATGTGTCAAATATTTTCTAAAGTCACTAGCAGTTTTAAAGTACCAAAGGGACAACAACGCTCTAAATTCTTGCTTCAACCTGCAAAGCTCAAATAAACATTGTTGTTCCATCGTTCGTAGAATTGTGTTTTGTTATAAATACACTATTACTAGTAGTCAAAACGGAAAAGAATCGTCTGTCTTGTAAAAACAAATTTATTTTCATTTTTTTTAATATTATCATTAATATCTTTATTATTGTATAATTATTTAGTTGTAACGGTTAACCCGTGACCGATACTAAAATTCGTAATGAATCCTAGGCTCGCGCTGGTCGCCGGCTGGCTCAGTACTCGGTGCGAATTTTTTACGCAAGATCGAAACTGTCGCGCATATGATAAACTAAACAAATTAATGCACTTGATTTGTTCATACTATATCCATCGTAAAGGAAAACTTTTTTGGACTTTTTTTAGTTTGAGGATTTGAAAAAACTTTGTTTGGATGCGAAGTGCACTGCGCTGAAAACCCAAAAATGTTAAAGTATAATAGAGTGATACTTGCGTACTTTATTTTATGTTTTTGAGCGAACAGTCGAGAAACGGTCGCTCGTGAAATTTCATATCGGAGTACACTTCGAATTTTTTAAAAAGTGTAATTTGTGCTTGTTATAATTTTTCTGCTGGGAAGATTTTTCAAAAAGTATAATCTGCGCTCAAAACATTTTTGAATAGTGTAAACTGCGCAAGTGTTATTATTCTGAAGCAACTTTTATACTTTTGAGTTTTCTGTTTATCCGGCGTATCAGCAGCGCCGATTTAGAACCAGTCAACTTGCCAGACTCCCTGTACATTGGTGGTTTGAAAAGCAGTCGATTTAATTACACGGCATTTGATCCATTACAGTTGTGAGCGAATTTTCACGTTGTATTTAAGGGTCGACGTTAAAAATCTTTGCAAATAAGTGACAGCAACAAGTGGATTTGACGCGAAACTTTTTTCATCATCGAGGAGTGAGCGATCAATTATTGTAATCATTGTGAGCGTGCGTGTGGAAGTAGTTCAGGTATTATTTTATTATTACTTATACTTTATTATTATTTTATTAATTCGAATCACTATTGATTTGACCTCGCTAACTCAATCCTTTATAGAAGCGTAACTACTCGACGAGTCAATGTGTACTTAACGTAATTTTTGGTGATTTATCGTATGTGAAAAATTAAAAACTGTTAAATTTATAACGTATAGACGAGTAATGATGAAATACTTTATTCATCGTTGTGTAGTATATACATTGGAGGCCGGTTATAACGAGATTCAAGGGACCATCGAAAAGTTCTCGTTATATCCGGTCCTCGTTATAGCCGACATGAGCATTAATCACAATAATTTTTTTTATTTACCAGTTTCATTTATTTATCAGTTAAGATGAGATTATTATATGTATTGATTATTTATTTACATTGGTATGAATAATAATACTACTATAATATCATAGATAATAACATAAATTAATTGTATTAGTTATAAAAATTACAGAAAAATGTTGTTCATGAAACTCAAAATTTTAGTTTGTACTTGCTTTACTGATTTTTGTTTTAAATGAAAATTAGAAATTCTTGATTTTATCATACTCTCACGATTTTTTCAAATCGTCGAAACAGTTGAGGACGGTCGATCATAAGTAATGCAATCTTCGGTATGAGATTTACCAATTTGAATGATAGAATACTTATCGCTCATTGACAATGTCTTCCTTTTTTTTAGATTAAAATTTTACGAAAAGAAAAGTACGAGATATACGTTTCCCCTACGAAAGCAACTGTAAAACTGATCATTTAACTTGCTTAAAGTAAGCTTTTTGTACATAATTCTGTGTTATTAAGTTTGCGAACGAGTATCTAGCTACGAGAGTAAACATGCGATTTCTCGTTATAAACGTCAATTTTTCCCAAATTTTTCCTAATTTTTGCTCGTTATACCCGACTTCTCGTTATATTGAACTCGTTATATCGATCAAATTTCCTATACTTAAAGCATTGGAACCAACCAAATGTCTAAAATCTCTCGCTATATCCGACCCCGTTATAAACGGCCTCCACTGTATGTAGCTCATCATATGAATCATGTTACATCTGGAGTACTGTAACAATTAGAAAGTGAAAGTTCAGAGTAATAGGGATCAATATATTATGTATATCATATGTGTCTGAAAAAAGTCTGAAAAATAATGATTCAATAATTCTGCGTGTGATTTTAAACATTCATGGGAACTAATATTTCGCTACACGTTACGAAAAGCAAAATGATAATCTCGTTAGATCGTGTAAAGTTATCATTCGCATAAAAGAATCTTATTTATGACTCCACTTGCTCAGCCGTCTCAATTAAGATCGATGCGAACCTTACAACACAATGTAACGAAAGCTTTACGAACATTTTGTAAAATTTTTTCAAATTCATCGGAATTTTTTCAATTGATTCATGCTTGTAACAAAATGTTTGTAAATAGCTCTTATTTTTTTATGCGTTTACATATTTTTGCGCGCTCGCGGAGTTAAGTCAGTAAAATTCGTATGCATTCGAATTGTAATATCGAACAATTATTATACACTTTTAGAATACATGAGGTAGTGAACACATAACTTAAGATCTTTTACATCAAATGAATTTCGTGTGTTTATAAATATGAAAATCGAGATTAATTTTTTTAGATTTATTCACTTTATTAATATAGAAAATTCACAACATCAATTAACAAAGTGCCACAATTGTCATAGCTACTTTTTGTCTGCAGCCGCCAGACAAATATGATATAAATCTCGGTTATTTAGGTTCTCGAGGATCATTTCACAAATCTCAAGTGGCAGTCGTTGGTGTATCAATTGCCAGAAAGGATCCAGCGCCCACCGTCGAAAAAAGCCTCTTGCCAGTTTCTCGCACAGAAGCGGAATACAAGTAGTGTCATAATAATGCCTCGATGAGATCACGCTACTTTCGTAGGGCTTCCGGAACTCGTAATAGTTCATGTACGTGACTCGATTTTCCGCCTCTTCGGGAGACAACCGCAACAAGTCGTAGAACGACAGATTCGGAATCACCATGATCTCCTTCATCTCGCTCACGAACTCCTCGTCGTACAACCAACATTGTCCCAAATTCCACATCCATGGCTGCTGGAAAAGTTGGAAATCTGCGAAATGTCTCATGATCGTCGTGGCTTCGACTCGACCGATCTCGTATCCTCTTTTCGCCAGTCGCTCGACAACGGCCATAGCACCGGACGCTAGTTTCAACATATAATTGTCAAATTCCGACGGCATCAGAGTGTTCGTCTCCTCGCCGCGATACTTGATGCGAGACGGAAAAACGAAACTGGACAGATCAGCGCCGCGATCCAAGAGAACGTCGATCGTGTTCGGCATGAGCTGCGCCACGGCCCATTGCAGCGGTGTCCGGCCCTTCCTGTCCTTCGCGTCGACCTGCACTATCTGATTTCTTTCGTCGCTGATCCCGAAGAATATCCTGGCGAGGTCCGCTTGGTCGACATTTCTCATGCAAATGAGGTGCAGAGGAGTAGATCCCTCGCTATCGGTCAGATTTAGATCGGCGGTTCTTCGCAGCAGCCACGAGATCAATATCTGGCCGTGCGGGGCCACTTGACCCATGTGAGAATATTCAGTATTGACCGACTGGTCCGATATCGGTTCAAACCTGACGCCATACAACAATATGCCAGTATTCCCAACGTATTGTTCCCAAATCGGTATGAAAGTACGGGCCAATGATGACTGACAATTACTCGACCAACATCGTTTACCAGTTTTTTATCGTCAAACTTCGGGTTTCTCGTTAACAAAACAACACGTGCATCCTATGACACTTATAAACATAACCCATTGTAGAATTTGTTAAAGTGATAGTTTCTCTTGAGTAAAAAAAATGTTCACAAGTTACTATCACGTAAAAAAATTTAGAGCTTTAAAAAGAAAAAAGTGCTCAAGTACAAATAGTTCGTTGTGTAGTGAAGAATCGAAGGAAGTAGTTGCGTGCAATAAGTTTACCGAGCCGTGTGTTTTTGAGCCACCACTACAACATGAACTGCCCGAAGAAATCTTGGATAATCAACATGAAAATATAGAAGCACATGACGACCGAGTTGAAAGCTCCGAATCAGCAGGCTCAACAACTACATTTGATTCGTCAAGTAGTCAAACTTCAAGTTTAAATGAAGAAGATGAGTCATCAAAAAGCAACAATGAGGTTAATTTTTTAGCTTTTTTTATACATTTCTGATAGCAAATGAATGTAAATTTTTTTATTTATATACAGATGCACTTGGAAAATTATTCTGAAAATTCGACTCTCAAAGAAAAGCTTCAGATGTGGGCAATGAACAACATATTTACTTTGAGAAATTCAGTAATAACCGAATTGTTGCATTTACTTCACGATCAAGTCAAAGAAAAGTTACCTCTTCGAGCGGAAACATTATTAAAAACTAAAAAATGTTCAAACACAGTCATTATTGTACCGACAGCGAAAGGTAATAATGGATTATATATATACGGGAGAGCGGGGCAAGTGTAACTTGCGGGGTAATACGACTTCTTGTTTTTTTCAATGATAATGATTTTTTAAATAAATTTTTTCCCCACTTATTGTTGAAATATACTTGTAACTATCGATTGCATGCAAAAACGACGCGAAAAAACGTTTATTTTATTAATTTTAACTCGAAACAAAAATACGCTAAAATTATTACAAAAATTTCTTATTTCACACTTCTGTATCTTTTTTGATAATGATTTTTATGCTACCCCTTTTTTTTCATAAGAACAGTCATGTCTTCCCGATGAAAAGGCTTTTTTCAAAATTTCATTAAACGCAATATTTTATGAAATATTTAATTTTTAAAAACATGTCTTAATGGGGCAAGAGTAGCGCCTGAAGCGGGGCATTAGTGTCGCGGTACGCCAGGCATTGCGACGATTCGTGACGGCGGTCTGCTGACTTTTCGTTCAAACTTAACCT